GCCATGAGGGCACCATATTCACGCTCGAGAGGGGTTAAAGATGTAACCTTGGCACCCCAGATCTCGGATCCTGGTGCAAGGGCGTTGATAAAGGAGTTACCAGGGTTAACTCTATAGGAAATCTCTACGGTCCCCTTCTTCTTATTTATTCCCGCAATCCGGGCAAGACAATGCGGAGCAGACGGATTATTAGTCGGTGGGTTTGCCTTTGAAAGCAAGACAATATCTGCTTCGCCAAGCCCATAGTCCTTGACCTCAAGCGCTGGCATAACCGTGCTAACTTCCATGAAAGAGTCCACTGACAGTCGTGTCGCAACCTTAACCTCGAATGGTTTGAAGTTTCCCTCTTCTTTCGAGGACTGGAAACCTTGCCATGCTTCCAATATCAAAAGAGGCTCGAAAGTTTTTTGGTAATCAACAGGGTCTCTGAATGTGTTAGATATCAAACTATAATCAGTACGACCCGAGTTCGGCGGAAGATCGCCGTTAGCAAAGAAGTCCCAAGACAATATGGTCCGATGTAGTGAGGAGAGGTCTGGAGCTAATCTTGCGCGCATATCCTTTGCAGAGCGCACTTGCTTGATCTTCTTGACAGGACCCTGCTGTTTGAGTGACAGTCTCTTGCTTTCTTCGTAGGCCCTAACGGCGTCAGGTTTAGATCCACCTTTCGGACCGAAAAGCTCTCTGTCGAGTTCATCCTCGCTCTCTGATTCAGACTCTGACCCCGATGACACCATCATACTATCTGCAGGCCTATGGTCCTTGCCTTTAACTCCAATTCCACTCAGCCCAGACCCTTGCTCGGCGGTTTGTTCAGCAACTCCAGTCGCCGGGAGACTCTTCTTCAAACGTGCAAGCTCGGCCATATCACGCTTCTTTTTAGCCTCTCGCTCTCTTTCTCGTTTCTCACGGAAAGCCTGGACCATTACATTAGACTTCAAAGGCGCCGGGGCGGGCCTGGGAATCGCTGGAAGAGCTTTTGCTGCTTTCTCAGCCCTCTTCTTCGCTTCGGCAGCGACTCTTTCCTTGTTGAGTTCAACGGATCGAGATAGTTGCAAGAGGACATCATCTGGAACATTATCGTCGAACTCATCCGGTGTTCTTGATGGGCTGGGAGTAGCTGACAGCTCGGCCGGTCTAGCAAATGCTGTGATCGAGCTCTGTTTCTTTAGGCTTGCAGTCGACGCAGTAACAACAGGCTTCTTGTAATAAGCTTCCAAAGCTCTAACAAGTTCTGCCTTTTCCCGTAACGTCAGCATAGTCTTGACGGTAGACTTGACTGCGACACCCTCGATATAAACCAGCGCATCCTCTTTCACGGTAGTAACGCTGAGCTCTCCAAGACGGCGAAGAAGTTTGGCAACAAGTCCAACTAGAGTGGTAGCCAAATATTCATCCTTCAGTCGGAGCCATTTGACCATTGTACTCATAGTCGCGGTTGGAGACTTGAGAAAATTTTCGCGGGCAGAGGTCTCTTGACTGGGGTCCGCGTCGACAACGGCGCTCAGAAAGACACCGTACTGATCGAAGAGAAGATCGGCGAACTGAATACTATCGCGACAGAATTCCAGCATCACCATTCTGTCATTGCCCCTGAGATGCCACGATTCAGTTTCGTCAAATATCGTGGTCAAGGCTTGCCACAGGTATTCCCACAACTTCTGGAGGGAAAGGATCTCTCGACGATCTGCGAGTTTGCGAGTTCTGAGCATACCAGTCTGGCTGTCGCAAAGAATATCCACAATGTCCGTCCCTGTATGAATCATCCTCGGAGCAGAAGCAAATGTTTTCATATTCGATATACGTCGGAAAGACCAGCTGAGCCCGTACATAGTCGTAGTAAAGAATGACTGTAGAAGATGGGAAATGGCATCCCTTCGAGCAGATTGTCCACTGACATTTTTTATGAGGTCCACCGCGGCCTGATAGGTGTTTAGATCAGCTGCAAAAAGAGCGGAGATCAGAGCACTACTGGTATCTTGGCTTTTAAAGAGCTCATCAAGATGCTCCGGTTTGAAATCTGCAAGACGCTCGATTATCAAGCATGACAAATGAGTAAGGTGACCGTAGATCATATTAAAGTGAGTCTTCTCTTGGCTGGCTCCTCCCTTTGTGGAGAATTTCTCCAACCCGACCAGCGGTAATATACCGAGAAGAGCAGATGTCGAAAGGGCCAGGTTGTCTTCATGGAGGTGTTTTACAACAGCATCCCAAATTGGAGCTGAATATGTGCTTACACCGTGCTGAAGGGTATCATACCGTAAGATGACCTCATAATCGCTCTTGAGCGACTGGCACTCCAGAGCGAGTGTATTACGAATGACATCCATGCACAGCGTTGATATTTCGCGCTGACGTCCCTGTTCAACCTCAAACTTGGGAGGTTCAAGAATTCTAGCGATGTTTGCACTCACGACTTCCATGGTCTCAGATAGGACAATTCGCGCTACAGAGCCCCTCGAAGATTCATGGTCAGTGAAGCTGCGAAGTGTATCAAGTAAGCTTGACAACCCAATGTGAAAGCAATGATACCTGGCCAAGTTAGGAAGGCGCGAGTCTTGTAGCCGATCAAGAAGCTGGTAAACTAGAGACCTGCATGCTGACGGTTGATGGGGACCCTTCAGTGATGACATGAATGGATTGATCCATGACAACATATCTTTCATAGCGGACTTTTCGTAGGGCTCGCCCTCGGTGGCTTGCTTCAAAAACGCATCTAGCTGGGGATTGTAGAACACAAGCTCAATGATAGCTTGAGGTGATATGGTCTGCATCGCATCCCAGAAGTCTCCAGGTGCCTTTTCCAAGAATATCTGAATCGTATTCAAGATAAAGCGTAGGCCAGGAGACTGTATCCCGATGTGTTCCACCGAAAGACGGCAAGGGTCGATTTCGAGGGCTCGCAGATGATGAGTAATCTGGTCTTTATCCAGCCTTTTGACCACAAGCTGCATCCCCCGCCATAGTCGCTGGATGGCAGCGACCTGAACCGGCTGTTGAGAAGCCGACCTTAATGCGCCGAGGAGCCCTTCTTTGATCGCCCAATCAAATTCTGTGTCCGTGGGAGGCCGGGAATACCGCATCCATGCCTGGATAGCCCAAAAGCTGCGACTCTGATTGGGGTCAAACAAGAAACGGGTGACAGCCGGGATATAATCTGAAACTTTTAGAGTACGCTTCGTCTGAATGAGTCTAAACGGCTCGTCGAAGTATTGCTGGAGAAGACTGTCATTGCGAAGCATAGCATCACAGCTCAAGCTCTCAAAGATAGATAGCAAAGACGCCCGGTCCAACACATGAAGCCCGATTTCCTGGGGAGGTACCTCTTTCAATTTCGTTGTTGCAGTGGTCAAATTCCTCGTTATCCTTTTTATGTCGCATTCGTCAATCATCCGGGAAAATTTTTCGATATCTTCATCATCGTAGTTTTCTTTCAGCTGCTCCATAAGCCAAATCTTTCCTGTATAGTATTGTTTGATACAGAGATCGCATTTCTCGAGGGTGTCGTCCAACTTCCTCCAAATCCAGTTTTGCAGCTCTTCGACCCCCTCTTCGTTGTATGCCAATATGCGCATGCATGACAGGAATTTTTCCCTGCGAGCTGTCGCCTCTGCCACCAGTTCTGCAATGTTCTGCCCCGGTTCATCTACCTGATCGGTTTCGTCATAACGTGCGTGGTCGTCGTCATGTTGTCGCGGACATAATAGGTGGACGTTGTCAGGAAGGGCTTGTAGCTCTCTGCAAACAGATTGAGGCTTAACTACTGTAATACACGATGGCAGTTGCAGGACTGTACAACTTAGCGACTCACCCAACAATATCCATAAACTCCATGGTTACGATCCGGTAATCCAGCTGTGATCTGTCGCCGCTGTAAACAACAGAGCATGAAACATTCCCTTGCCGAGGAGACAAGGATTGGCTACTATACCCAGATCCAGAATGTGAAGCCTCACAGAGCTATCTCACTCGATTGACCAGGCTTCAAGGATCCTCTTTCACGGTGGGCTATATAAGCATGGTTGTGGCAACTAGGCACTTGAGAGATGATACAGGAGGTTTTGCTTTTCCGCTGCACGCCACCACGTCACAATGTGAAAGGAAGGATAAAGGGATGTCAGGGGAATGTTGTGCATTAACACAATCCTTAGAAAGTTTCAAGATTCAATGTGCTTACCCATGCCCTCAAGGAAGCAGCAACACAAGAAGACTCAAGTGTAAAGAGAAAATGAAAAAGCCCATCGGCAAGGCATGCAATACAACGGAGTAAATCAGTGCCGCACCGTCGTCCCTGGCTATTGGTTGATGTTGAAGGCGGTCAAAACGCCCGTCATCCACTTTACGCGCGAGGACGCGCTTATCCTCCACCTGAGCTTTTGCGCGCTACGCCCAATTCAGTTTAATCTGACTTCTCCAGTCTACGTAGTCCACTTCTCGTCCTGCCGAGTGAGTGTCTGCATGACAGATAATTACTTTTGATTGGACTTGATGGGTCTCTGAGGGACATTCGTATTGACGGCCTTCAATAGAAAACGTAAAATCCATAAAACCTGCCACAACACATACCTCATTCCTTCAAGGGCGCTCAAGGTTGTCCTTTGATCAGATCTTTTGTCAAAACAGTCAAGATTATAAGGGAGAAAGAAAAGTGAAAGAAAAGGGCAGCGATGGAAGAAAAGCGTATTCACACACACGGAAATAAGGCTTTTGTACAAGAAGAACACAGGCATTACGCCACAAAGTAGATAAAATAGGGAAGAGGTCAAAAGAATGATGAACGCAATAGAGCTTCAGTAGAAAGGATTCGCGCCGAACCACCCAGATATGTATACCGAACGCCTTCTATGGGGGAATAAATAGCGGGGCTCCAAGAAAACAAGGAGATTACTCGTCATACAAAATCACACAAACAAAACGAAACAGATGCATCGACAAGAAACCGACAAAGGGTCATGAGAAACATCGAGTGTATATAGTATAGTATAAAATGGATAAATAGTTTATGAGGAATGCGATGGAGGATCGTAAGGGGCTTTCAGTGGACTATGAGGACTTTGAGGCTCTTGAGCACCACTTGTCAGTCCCGTCTCCACTCGCGTTAGCTCGTTGTTCGCTTCGAAATCATGTCGAACTCTATCAAAGGAATGCCGCGTCCGTTCAGCCGAGCCGCGGACATAGTCCACTGGCTGAGTATGATAATGTTGACTCGTATCGAGGCTGGATGCATAATTTGTCCCATTACTGCCATTTTGACTGCGGTGGTTGTGCGTCTGATGGGTACGAGAGGTTGGAGCAACGGAAGGCGTGTATATCTGCTGATCGTCGGAAAAAGGATCCTGTTTCATACTGGGTTGTATTGGTTTTCCCAAGTCCGAAGAAGCAGCCGATTCATCACTCAACAACTGACCTGAAGCCGCAGCGCTTGCTGCCTTGGGCGGTACAAACGCCTCATACTGATCCAAAAACTTGAATTTGCCCTGGGTGACCTGCTCCCGAATGATGTCCACATCTAAGGGGAAGAACACCTTCTGGAAGGCCTTGAAAGTAAAACGAGGAAGGAGGCATATCGTGACGGTAAGCAGTAGTACAACCCAGAAAGACAAGGTTCCGTAAACCTGAGCTCCGGACTTGTAGAACTGAGCCGAAGCGTCAAACGAGGAGTAGATACCAGTCCAAAGGAAGATCAGGAGTGAACTGATGACATTGATTAATGCTGTCAGCCAGTCCCACCGATACGAATTCAGCATGATGTAGGTATTGCTGGCGATGACCGCGCTCGTCGCAACAAGGACACCCATACGAGTCCGGTCGCCAATATCCAGCCCATTGGAGGTTTGGAAGGTCGCCGGGCTATACAAAAGATATGGCATGAAGAAACAAATGAGGGATTGGTAAAGGCCGTCAGCCATGTACAACCTAGGGCATGTCAGTAAGGGCCAAAAGGAAAAGTCAGTAAGGCAGCCTACCAGAATTTGAGTTGAGACCATTCTTTTCGCTCTATGCCTCTCATGTACAGCTGGGGAACAGCCAAAGATATCTTGTCGTCGACGTCCTGGTCAAAGATACCCATGAGGATCACGGGAAGTGATGTGAACGCCACGTTGACCAGGACAATATATGTATAGTCAAAGAGGTAGGAACCATCAAAGTCGTTGTAAATCGAATACCAGAAAAGCGCAATCGTCCATACCAAGTTCTAGAAAGTTGTTAGCCGGACCCCAATAGGAAGGATGACAGGAAGAATGATAGACGACATACCTTATAGAAGAAGTTTGCAATAGTCTCCGCCATGCGGCGGTAAGACCATCTTCCATGGACAAGGATAAGCCGCTGAAGAAACCGGAATTGACCAATAGCATAGTCAGAGGACATGGCTGCCTGGCGGCCTTCCTCACCGATAATACCAACACCGACATCGGCCTCCTGGATCATGGCAACATCGTTGGCACCATCGCCAATCGAAAGAGCCATGATATCAAGGCCGTTCTTAACCATGCGTACAACTGCAGCTTTCTGTGCAGGACTGACTCGACAGCATAGGACAGATTTGCATTGTTTACACAATAGCAAGAACTTCTGCTTCAGTTCATCATCAAGCATCAGCTTGAGAGTCTCGCCATCAATAACTACGGCGTGCGTTGGCGCTGGTGGTGTGTGATCGAGGCGGGCAGCGAGAAGCTCTTCATCAGATCCAGTCAGTCCAAACCTTTGCAACTGCTGGTCAAGTTCTTGCACTGCACGGTGTGACTCGTCGGCTGGGATGTTGAAGACGATCAATTCCATATCGTTATCCAAAAGGTTGCACGAGAACCCAATGTTGATAGCAGTCTCCACCTTATCGCCTGTCAAAACCCACAGCTTAATACCAGCATCCGCCAAGAGGGAAATGGTATCTGGAACACCATCCTGGAGTCTATCCTCAATAGCAGTTCCCCCGATAAGCATGAGTTCTTGTTCGATGTTACTAGAGACTTCCTCGAGCTTTTCTTCACGGTCAGTGAGCGCAGCAGCGGCAATGTCGTGCTCTTTGCTCCATGCCCTGTATTCTTCCTCACTGAGCACGCGATCTGCAACACACAGAGTCCGCAAACCTTCACGAGCGAACATTTCAAGATGTTCAGCTGTCTTCTTTCGGAGTTCCTGTTGTTTACCTGGAGCCAAACGTGAATATATGATGCTATCTGCACCCTTGCAGAAGAGTCGTATGTGACCGTCAGGCATGCGGATGATCGCGCTCATTCGCTTTCTTGACGAGTTAAATTCTAGAGTGTTGAGAACGGTGTATGTCCGCTCTTCCCCCATGACGTTCAAAACGAGGTCGTCACCTGATCTCCCAAGAAGGGTGAAGCCACAGTCTCGAGCTGTGCCCACTAAAGCCGCCTCGTCGGGCGACTGTGCTTTGAACTCGATCTGTGGAGGATCTCCAGGTGTATGCTCGGTGATGACGGTATGACACACCGCAAGGGCGAGCATAAAATGTTCCGTGGCGTTCCTCTGAGCATCGCCTGACTGTCCTCCCAATCTGCGACATAATTCGAGGATACGAAAGTCAAACTCTCATCACGCAAATAGGGGTTATCATGTATTTTGCGTAACAATTCAAGCATCCTGGTCGTGTCTAGAGCAATTCTTTCCCGTTCCCTCGCAGCAACAGCATCAGCATCTCCTCCCTCACGCCGCACCATGCCAACCTGGGCTTCGGTGAACGCCTCGCCGTATGAAACCCCATTTACAGTGCATTTTTTGAAATCCATGACATTCTGAGTCAGCGTGCCCGTCTTGTCTGAGAAAATGTACTCAATTTGTCCAACATCGTCAGAGATGTTCCAAGACTTCGGCACGCAGTAAATCTGCAGCTTCTCGTAGTACATGAAGACGTCACTGTGAATGAAAACAGCCTGGATGGTGCGAACGATTTCGAGAGAAATATAGAGTGAAATCGGAACCAAGTTTTGAAACAAGATGAGGGCGACCCAAAAGGTGATGATACCCGTGACCGCTGGAGTGCTCCCATAGGCTTTCAAGTCGAAAAAATTGAGAGACCTGTCGGTCGAGGACCACGCGACGCCGTTGACGATACCAGAAATGAGACACATGACGAACAAGATAGCGAAGTTGTATATAACGTTCCAGTTGAGGTCCTTAGCAAGGCGGGCCCTTTTACTGGGTGTCACACCCGAGTTCAGCATGATTTTTGTCTCGTCACCAGTGAAAAGGACAACGCCTAGAGCCCATTCGGTGTTACGCAAGGAGCAACCACGGAGGAGTATGTTGTTGATGGTGATGGGCTCGATCATTTCCTTTCGAGGTGCCTCGGGGAAGTCGGGGTCACGCTGGTCCCAGCGTACGGCACCGTTATAGGCATACAAATTGGGATGCGGTGCCTCGCTATCGATCACAAACTCCGCCCTCTCGCAATCTCTAGCATGTCTAACCTGCCGACCACAGTTGAGGGCTTGGCGAACTTTGAGATTGGTTTCGCCATCCAAGCTCTTCGTCTCCACGTAACATGCACCATCGGGATCGGACGTTGACAGTACCACGACATCGGCTGGAACGGGATCTCCGTTATATAGTCGAACATAATCTCCCACTTGGACATTCTTCCAATAATCGCGCTTAAACCTGGCCTTTCCAATTATCTGCTTGGAGGTGTCCACAACACTCCCACCTTTTTTCGGGGGGGTAGCGGACACCGCAACACTGTCTCGGGCTTTGTCCGGATGCAGATATTGACTCTGTTCGTCCACTGCGTGCGTCCAATCCGGACGCGCCTCGGGAGTTGGCGATGGAACGGGTGTCATTTGGATGGCTTCGTCTGCCAAGCCGCCGTCGCCTCGTTGAGAATACACGGATGTCCGCGGAGTTACTGTGGTCATAAAAGACGCACGCCTATCAGCTTCTTCCTCGGGATCATGTTGCTTTTTGTTCTTCTGAGCCAAGCCCTTGATCGATTTATATGTCCAGATAGTGGCCCGGGTGCAAGCTTTCTTGATCCGACGCCACAAAGAGACGTTGTCTTCGACAGAATTCACATTATTCCAGTCGATCAAGCGGTAGACCGGGGAATTGTTGACTTCGTTATCAACTACCGTACGTCGCCAATCCTCAATAGCATCTTTGATGGCTGTAACTACCACGATAACGATCAAGGGAACCGTGTTGAGGGCAGGAGTATCGACACCGAAAATTGAGAAGAACTAGAGGCATCTGTTAGTCAGAGAGATCTTCGGCGTAAGACCAATGATACGTACACCAAGGATAATGATGAACAAGAAATAGATATTAGCAATGTTATGGAATTGGAGCCAAATATTCTTTGGGACGAAAGTCAATGGTGTATATTTCGCAGTCCGAATTTTGTTCCTGGGGTAATATGCCTTGGGGTGGCCATCCTCATCTCTTTCTGATTCAGGGATAGGGATGTTAAAGTATACTCTTCGGTTGCCGGCTTCCGCATCACCTTCAGCATTCGGGTTCTCTGCGGTAGGAAGATTGCTAGATGTGGACTTGCGCTTCTCGTCCTTCATCTCCGAGCGCTTGTTAAAGCGATTCATGATAGAGACGCGTTTCCGCACACCTCCGGCGCCTTGAACTCGCTGCGTCGCCCATCGTTGTCGTTGAGTCGGTTTGGAAATGTTGCTACTCACTTCCTGAATCTCGCCCCCAGTAAAGTCATTCTCCGGCGGCGCCAGATGATTGGAAGCCATTTAGGCTATTTCTAGCCCTCGACAGGGCATGCAATGTGTGGCCGTTATGTACTTAGAAAAGGTGGACGGCGAGCATCCGCTCCAGGGAGCCGACAGATAATTCCGCAGCCAGTTCGCGAAACTTCGTTTATTTCTGCGCGGAGAAGAGCGGAACGGTTAGACGGCGAGAGAAATTTTGTCAACTATATTGCGATTGACAGCGTGGTAAGAGATCTCATCTGTGAGGCGCTCAAGTGAAGCGGGTGGATTTGGTGGAATTACCAGCAGTCTAAAGCACTGTAATGGGAACAAGTAGGATGGCGAACGAACGGGGGAGGGAAGAAAGATGGGTTACCCGCCACGGGCCATGCATCTAACATAGAAGAAGTAATACGCAGGATCCAAAAGCACTCAAGAAATCTCTGGCGATGAGGATCGATCCTCCAGAGGGGAAAGTGTGAGAAGGAAAAGTAAGTAAAGAGGCTTAGGGACTGTGTTTCTGCCAATCCCTCTCTGGCTCTGGGAAGCCCCGGGAAACGAGGAGGGTATATTACCAATCCAATACGCTGCAGCTTCTGCGGGATCAGCGGCAATGGAGGTTGTTTCCTGTCCGGTATGGTAAGGTTGGAACCAAAGAACGCGTAAGTTTTAAATTATTAAGATGAAAATGATCATCACGGTGGTACCTTTAGTGATGCCAAATTTTCCATGAGTGTTTCATCTACATAAGCATTTGCATACAAATCTTTACGAGGCGTACAATGCCATTATATTCTCTCAATTTCTTGTTCGGCTTCATCTTCAATGTCCTCTCTAATATCGACTCGATATCTAGCTTAGCTATCACAAGAACAGACTGACGTATGATGGGGGGGAGATCTAGACATTGCCGTCATCGTTACGGTAATTTACCAGCAGAATGTATCAGTCCCTACTACCACGAGTTCGGCATGGGCATCCAGCGATGCCAGCCTCACCGTGGACTGCGATCAACGATACCTTGGTTCTCCTTCCAAAACTCTTAACACCGGTGGCAAGCACCCTCCGACACGGGGTTCGGCTTTCGGAAGAGGCGAGTTCTTAAAAGCGATATCTGGACCATCATATTCCTAAGGGTCTACGGAAGTCGGAGGACATTTAAGTGATTTATGACATATTGCCAATACCCGCATACTATTACTCTAGGTGCCGAGTCCATCCCGCACGGTTAAATCGGACCTCCGATATGGACAACTTGTCCATTAGGGAGATATACGGAAATAAGGAAACAAGGAAATTGAACAAAAAAAAGGAAAAAAAGGAAAAAGGAATAAGGCTAAGGGCTATAAGGCTGTGTTATACGAACTTTAGGCCGTAGATTCCAGCCAGTGCATATCTGACATTGTCCTATTGCGATTTTTATTCGTAAAACAATTACACGTATACAGAATATACAAAAAAAAGTAATTAGAATAAGAATAAGAATAAGAATAAAATAAAAATAAAAATAAAATCAAGGCTGGAGCATCTTGAAAGAAATCTATACGGAATATTATAGAATATTAGTCACCCTTAATCAGCCCCTCACAAAGGTTAGTAAGTATGAGTGAGCTTCCTCTGTATGCGAGATTATACCCCATCCTGCAAAATGAGATGGTATGCAAAATAGTGCAGCTCCATGGAACACAACATGTCATCCACTTTAGATATGGGGGCTTTTTTCGGAGAATGGGGCCTGAAACAGGCTAAAGGCCGTCTTGGGCGGCACATGCTTACTCCGTCAACTACTTATCCACAAGGCCATGAGACATCATCTGTACTGGCGTCAGAAAATAAAACCGTATAGCTACATGGACAGTGCATAAGCCCAGAATTCCTCGGGAGTATACTACGATTAACGGCTATCCATCTCTCACTTGTGCGTTAACAGTAGAAACACCTACTAGTATCAGGGGGATCGCAACTCTATCATTCTATGTTTCCCTTTTCCCCCTTTTCCATCATTCTGCCTTCACCCCTCTCCTTTTCCCGTCTTGGCCCTTAGAAGCTAACTACTGAATCCAGTATGGTGTGGCTCCATCTTGCGTGTAGCTGCGGTGGATTTTGGCTCGTTACGTGAGCCGATGAGATGATCGCCCGCCAACTGTTCTCGAAATCGTTCCGATAAACTCACTTCTGTGTACGCGAGGCTCCCATCTGTACTCCGTAACTACTAAGTACTAGGTAGTACTCCGTGTGGTATCAAACGGAGCCTGAGGAATCTATTTTACTCCTAGACAGATTTTACTCTGTAGGGTATCGTTCCCATTTGCTACCTATATTTGGCAATACGCACCGCCTACCGGTTTTCTGCAGGTAGCATCCCGTGACCCGTACTGTGCACTGCAAATCACAATCTGCAAAATTAGCCTACGTCAGTCCAGCGCTGGGCATGCATGTGCCATGTACTCTACACGAAATACAGTCTTTGTGGCTCACTTTACGTCCGTCCTCCGACCATATACTGATTTTCTATTTAAAAAAGAGCCTGAAAGTCAAAATCTGTTTTCGTATCCGATCGAATAAGCAAAAACCAGCTGAGCCTGCGTCAATCTACATAAACATACAGTAATCCGTCTTCGAGTACTTCCACTGCATGGTGGATCTTGGATCTCGAGTCGTTGGGTGTAATGGATTTGCATCAAACAGTCAGATCGGCCGCGAACTGTTGTGGGGAACAAAGTGTAAAAGTGTACAGTAAGCCAGATCTGCACTTTTCTCTACCCCCTAAACTTTTCCCGATACAGAAGACAGGTGGAAAATTTCAGACTCGATAAGCGATGCACAGCTTAAAAAGGGGGGCAGTGCACGGTTAGGCCGGACAAAAGTCGAGTGCAAGCATCTGTACTCCGTACCCCGTAGGTGTTCCGAGCAGATGCTCCATACCCTTAGGCAGAAATGTAACCTAAGGCGATACCCCTCCTATTCGAGTAGTATTCCGTACGTTCCCTACATTACGGTTGCAGCACAAGCAGATGAAGCCTGCTGCAAGTACTACCAGGAGGTATCTTGGGAGAGGTTTCTCAAGACTGAGATGTCTTTCCGGCAAGGTGGGACTTTTAAGGTTACGTAGGGCGTCGGAATGAAGCTCCTAAAGGAACTAATTCTACCAGAAGCAGTAATTGGCTTTGAATACTGAGAAACTATTGCCAAAAATTGCCATTATCGAACTTTGTGTTGATCGAAATTAAACGCCCTTATTTTTGTTTTCTTCTGACACTTATTTTCCCTTCCGTTCCAGCTGTGGTTATATTTAATCCTTTCTTCAATTGAATGCCAAGCCTATACCTTATTTTCAAAGTTTAGCCCTGTCACATATTGAACCCCTTTCCTGCCCGGTAGATCATAATGAGGTATAGAGTGACACTTTAAAACCAAAGAGTTGGAAGATGGCATCTCAATAGAAAGTTCCATTTTGCCCAAGGAGGCAAGAAAACACCCTCCGTAGTCTGTGTTTATGCCAAGAGACCGCTCAGTCATACTTTATCGATGAACATATTATGCTTGTCTCTTCCTTATAGCATACTTTGGTGTATATATACATGCAGGTAAGGACTTTCCCGGGTCTATAGTACTTTGATATAGAGGGATACATAACATCTAGCGAGGTTTATTTTATTCTTTGTTGTATGAACATGGATTTCAAGGGGTTTGAGGATGTGGTACACCAACTGGGGGACTGACTACATATATCTCGCTCAAGGAGCAGATCTATCATGTGGCCTTGGGCATAGATACTATAGTTAAGTGAGTCTAATTGGAATAAGATACGCATTTCCATACAATTAACTAGTTGTCGCATCTCTCAAACTGTTCTCAATCATCGTCATGTTGTATAGTCCAAGAAAAGATATATATATGTTATTACCGAACCTTACAAAGGGCTCCCCTGTCAAGACAGAAAGACACGAGTATACACACAACAAGCAAAGAAAAGGGACTGGGATTAGCCAAAGAACCGAAATAAGGAAAATCAGCCCGAAAAGGTCGGCAGTACTAGAAAGCTGGTTTGGTGTAATAGGTAGTGCGCTTCACATAGAATGACCGTATACCTAAGAACTTCCGACTCTAGCTTGCTCCAGGGAAGTTGATAGTTTCGCAAGTAATTAGAACGATTTAAAAGCAGCTATTAACTTCATTCAAAGCCAAGTTAGTATTTCAACGTAGTCGAGTACGAAGTATATTCCGGCTCCCCTGGCTGGTACCCCATTTACCCATAATAGGTAAAGTCATTTTATTGGCTAGCGCGGAACCTAGCCTCTCCCCACTCAAGGTTTAGCGCTAAGATGTGTATCTATCGGAAGCCGTGCATGCGGGCCAATGTCCATATCAAACTTCCTTCAGAATGTCTCAACGCTCCAGCATCAGGAATTATTTCAAACGGCCAGATTTTTCAGCTAGCAGAGACTCCCGGTACGAGGATCCAAGCGAACCTCCTGCTGCGAGTTCTCAGTCTTCTCCCCTCAGTGAACCACCGTCGTCTTTTGTATCAAATGGTGGATCTCCACAAACTCCAGACGGTCCAGCATTGCAGTTGAAACGGTCATTGTTGCTCTCTGTCACAGATTCCACAGAAAATTCACAGCACCAACCAAGTTCTCAAAATACTGAACCCACAGCTTCTGACCCAGCATTACCACCGAGCTTCAACTTAGCCCAGCGCGTTGTAAGGAACGGAAGAGAAGTTGTAATTAGCTCCGATGGTGAAGATACGGACGCAAGCGAGGTCTTTGAAGATCCAACCTCTCTTTTTCTGAAATTCGCGAAACCAGATGGTGCCTCTACAAGTGAGGATACAAACAATGATTCTTCTAGCTACGGGAGGACTTTGCGTTCCCTGCCGTCAAAAGATGAAGTGAAACCCAGAAGGTTTTCTCTGAGTCGCGTTTCCGCTCCGAAGTACAAGCACTCCATTGATAGTCTTGTTACTCAAGCCGTCGATGATAATGAGACCGAGGCAAGCATTGCAAAGCTTAGGGCTGCTTTAGAAGAGGAGAATGCCCGAAAGGCCGCGTCAAAGTCTGACGCAGCTCCAGGCTTACAACAGTTGCACGAAGGTATTCTGACATCGGCGCTCGACGACCAGAATGACGAAATGGGGCTGCGACGTCTACTTGATGCTGTCCGGAGAACGGAAGCATTTGACATGGAGAAATCATGGTTTTTCTTCGACCACGCCAGTGAATTAGCTCCTCCTCCGGCGTTTCCACGGAACTGTATAGCAGCAAAATCGAGTCTATCTGTGTTAAGAGGTTCGTTTAAAAATGTAGTGTCTCGGATTCCGTCTCTAACCCGTTCGCAGATACTGAATCGAGAGAGCGAGCATTTCACTCAGGCTCTGTTGATTTCGCATTGTCAAGAGGGCTCCTGCCTGACGAGTTAGTGATGTGGATGCTTAATTCTAGTATGTTGACACGAATCCTGGAGTTAACATTACGCTTACATCCTTCAGTACCGTCGGAGCCTCGAGATACACTAAGGAACGCTTATTGCCGGGCATTCAAGGTTTGTCAAGCCCTCTGTTGATTGGGAGAAGTCCTTATACTGAAGCACCTAAAGAACACTACTGCAGAACGTATACAGTCACTTGTGCGACCGGAAAGCATTGACGCCATGTTCCAAATGATGGGTGCAAACCAGAAGGCATTGACGTTCTCTGAAGTTATAGTTCCAGATGCAGTTCCAAAAAGTGAGGCTAGTCTGTGTTTCTGCTCTTTCCGCTCTTTCTATATAACTAACAAAACACAGATAGTTCGCTGCGAGCAGCACCACGACACCACGCTGCTCTGCTGTCCATCTTAAACCTGCTGCGTGGAGCAGCAGATCTGTTAGTGTCGAGTTGCATGATACTAGAACAGCTACTAACATTCTAATAGGTTCTCCGACGAGACTAGAGAGCACATCCTTAGTATTCTTTTCCGCCTTTCGCTCGACATCTCATTAACTCGCGACCCCATGGTTTGCTCGGAATTGGAACGGACTATAACTGCGGTGTTGGAGAGTATCTCCGAAGAAACGGCGGATAAGTTGGTGGGACTCTCTATACCGTGCTACAACATGCAAGGATATTAATTGCCGAATCTAGGTATATCGTGTGTGCACATCTGCCTATGAAACCATCAAAGATCCTGTATTCCAAAGCCGTCTTTTGACGCACATCTTGCCAACATCAAGCTGGATTGCGATGCTACGATGTCGTCTCGCCGTCGCGTTCTTGACCAAGGATCCTTCCCCACTAACCGAGGAGCCGGACGTGATGGTATATGTAAAAAGAATAATCGATGTACTGAAAGACAAACGATTTGACGTGAAGAGATATAAGTCAAAAGGCCAACCCGAGTACGACTATGGAGAACTTATGGCCACTACGAATGTGCTAAACATTGCTATCGATTCCGGCTGGTCCGGCGTGGACTTTTCGAGCAAGGACGCAGAGCGGGAATTCAACTCCGAGGTTGATGTACTCGCGGACCGGATCAAGAGAATATTCACCTCCATCGAGGATTCGGGCGCATCCCATCTCAAGCGGACCCTAGCGAAGGAAGCCCTTGAAGCCTTGCACTACCGCATCATATACTCTGTCAGGACCAAGCCACGCCCGAAGAAATCAATATTCGGAGAGAATGGAGTTGATCGCCAGAACAAAAAAGTTTTCGACCCGTGGAAGGTCAAGATTAAACAAGACCCGGAAACTCCGACCCAACAACCAGGGGCTTCACCATGACGGCTAGTCAAGGACTAGCCTTCTGGGCCTACATCTACTTTTCTCTGCGCAAGGAAATATATCGAGGCTATACACCGACCTTTATCACAACTAATGTCAAAGGGCTTCTAGTGCAAGGGCTTGCTAAATGCTGGAGCTACTATTAATTACAATGGCCAGCCGGCAGCATGACCCGATAGCTTAAAATCATCTAATAACAAAAGAGGACCATGACTGATGTGATCTTGATAGCAACAGCCAGTGACTCTACTGTAACCCTGCCTTTTCCCACTTGATCACATTGAAGGATAACTTAAGCGTAGATAAACTTTACTGGAGGATAATAAGAGACTGTAGACAAGGCTATGCAGTTCTCCGCACGCGGAGCGTTAATCAAAGAGACATAGATACAAGAATCAGCGATAACGGACTTGGCGCAAAATCAATAATAGGACAGGTATTAGTCTAATCGTAGAACTTCCGGTTCTGGTTCTTTCCGAATAGTGTTTCCCTCACGGCGGGAAGAGCATCGATCTCGAGCAACCGCAGGCGCTCTTCAAAAGTGTTGTTAAGCTCGATCTTACCCTGACCACCGACAACGACCACACCTCCAGCACTGCAGATCATACGTTAGATATAGTACGATCGAAAGCGGAAACAAAGAACAAGACTTACGATCCCTCTGGCAAAGGCTCGGCCTCATCTATCTCCACAGTAACATCCTTGCCAACCTTCTCTTTGAATACCTTCTGCGCTCCCTCAATCGCCTTCTTAGCTGCGCCATTGTCCTTTGCCCTCACCCGAATGGCCACATTCTCCTCATTAAGAGCGTACAGGCCCTCAAGGATCAGTCCCTGCAGAACAGTTTCATACTTCTTAGAATCCTTAGCTGCGATGTCGGAGATCTTATCACGAGCTTGCTGGAACAGCCCGTCAAGAAGTTCCTGACGAGAAGAAAGAACGCGGAGACGAGTACGGTTTGAAAGGGTGGAGCGGGTGATCTGTTGGGACATGGCAGCCTGCTTGAACTTCTTCTCGTACAGTGTGTCGATGGCAGCGGTTTCCTGGCGGACGAGCTTTGACTTCTCAATCGCGAATTCTTCATCGGCCTTCAGTTCAATCTCACGGGCCTTCTCCAGCGCTTCCTGCCGGATGAAGGCCGTCATCTTGCGGAGCTCGCCCGCGACCTGTTCGTAGACGATATAAGCTCGGGGGATAACACGCATCTCATGCTTCGGAGGCAGCGTACCTGATCGTCGGAAAGGGCATGGCTTTGCGACATCTTGGCTAGCGATATCGGGTGATATCAGAATCTCAGTATTAGAGGGCGTCGAAGGGCGTAGGGACGAGGCAGCGAAAGTCAAGCTTTCCCGATGCGGAGGTGCTTTCTGGGGGAGTCAGGACAATGACCTAGTCAGCATTGGAATCCACGATGATGGGGCACAGAAGCTATCATGGAATGGAGCAAGATAAAAATAGGGTGGGAGGAATGCATACCGGTGTAGATAGTTGGCGGGGCCAGAGAGGGGAGAGCTCTAAACAAGCAGCAGGTGGATGGGGGGAGGTTGTACGCAGCGGATCTGGTGACGATCGGGTCAGTTGGCCATAGCGAGGTTGGCGCCTCAGGAACTGCCAGACGGCTTCCCGCCCGCACCCCATGAGATCACTCCGGTCACTCGACTTGTCTCAACTACATCGTCCTGGGCATCCCATTTATTTCTTGTCCAACTCTGCCCCTTCCGTGCTATTTCCCCCCTCAGAATATGGCGACTGTACTTCGAATCTTGCCGAAACCCTTTTAATGTGTTGCGGCGTCTGGTCTACCGTCCCCCGCTCAACGACCAATGCATGAAGATACTCGTGATGGGTAATTTAGGTGACCTGTCCCCACAGGGGAGCGTCGCGGTCTGTTTTCCCCACGACCGGTATATTTCGGCATATAATGTACTCAATGTACTGACTCGAACTGCGGCGATAGGTCGGAGTTGTTGTTGGACTGGTTTCGACCAGTCTCCAAGCCATTGGATTGACCCTCCAGCGCAAATCGCATATTCTCGAGGACGAGAAACACCCCTACGATCTCCGCCGGCCACCATACAAACGTCGAAGATGGCAGGTATGCTGAGGATCACGAACTCGACGAGGAGTGGTACTGATGTTCTACAGCTGGGCATGCTAATGTTCGTCATTTCGAACATCGTTGGGAGTACTATACAAATTACTACACTTCCGCTTCCGGTATTATCGACTCTCCAAGCTGTCAGTGTCTCCCCCTGCTCGGATCCCCAGAGCCTTGCTAACAAGGCTATGAACAGTCCGGACTCGTCTTTAATACGATTTTTGCAACCCTGATTTTGGGGGAAGCGTTCACCAGATACTCCCTCATAGGTACCATCTTGGTCTGTATCGGCGCTCTTCTCATAGCGACCTTTGGGGCCATTGGGGAGCCTGCACACAGCCTCGATCAACTCCTAGAACTCCTCCAGCGTTGGAATTTTATTCTTTGGATGGCTGGGACTGCTGTAATGGTGCTGGTCATCTTACTTGGTTCAAGACTTCTGAAATACTTCGCGTCTCCAATTCGTTCAAAACACTCGGGCACCCGCCATTCTTATGTGCCGCACCTACAACTGACCCAAGGCCGTTCTCGGCTAATACGTGGGCTATGCTGTGGACTAGTAAGCGGGATTCTATCGGCGCACGCTTTGCTTTTGGCGAAATCAGCAGTGGAACTTCTTGTGCGGACGGTCGTGGATCGTGTGAATCAGTTCAACCGATGGCAGTCATGGGTAATTCTGATTGCAATGATCACGCTTTCTCTCACGCAGCTCTTCTACCTACACCGAGGCCTAAAGCTGTGCAGCACGAGTGTTCTTTATCCGTTTGTCTTTTGCATTTATAACATCATTGCCATTCTAGACGGTCTTATCTACTTTCGCCAGATGTCTCAATTGACCGGACTTCATGCTGGACTTATCGCATTGGGTACTCTCGTGTTGCTAAGCGGAGTGATGTGTCTCTCATGGAGATTAGAAGTCATCGATAGCCATGCCGCTGTAACAGTTGCCGGCCCTTCTCAAACCGCACTGGGCCCTGGAATGGCTGTTGTCGAGGAACACCCTTGCTCGTCCCTTGAAATGGGACTAGAAGACGAAGAAAACCAGACCGGGGAGCGCGAACCTCTTCTATGGAAAGCCTCTCACCGTGGAGCTTCCCACCGGCGAACCCCCAGCTTACCTCTACTCACCCCTCAAGGGAGCTCCGCGGACATGGAACCCGCATCTATTTGGGCGGAGCTCGACGACTCGGATCTTGACTACACTAACTCGGACTCCCGGACACCATTACTCAAACGTCTCTCTGCCGACCCATTTCAAACCCGACCACGAGGAAAAACCAAGTCCATCACCCTAAAGGACGCCTCCCTGCGCGGGCAACGCCACTCATCAACCACCCCCCTAAGCCACCAAACCTGGAACCCCCGCAGAGTCCGCCCATCCGTCTGCCAAACCGGCCACCAACGAAGAACCTCAGCCCCATCCCCCGACAACCGCCGAGCGCCCCAAAAACGGCGCATCTATGCCGGCGGGCCTTCTTTCTTCGACATCTCTGGCCTCGGATACGGAACCCACGACAACCGCACCGACACTCCATCCTCCCGTGAACCACCACCACCCACCGGCGCAGACACAACGCCCCTCGCAGGCACGAGCAGTGGCGCTCTAGGAACCGCATGGCGAACCAGCTACGGTATCTCTCTCGCCTAACCGGTAGTCAACGGCAAAGCGACCAAAGAACTCACGACGATCCCGAACACAACCCGGACGCTCCTCCCGATAGATAATCACCGTTACCAGAAAGAAAGATTGACCTTCCCCCATATCCCATTGTATATTACATCACAATACCTTTATGCCTACTTATAAACCACAGCCAGACACAGCCTACACTGTTCATTCCATCCTATATCCATATTTGTCTGGGTTTAATCTCCTATCGGGACTAATCAGGGCTGGCATGTTGAGTGACTCTCTGGATTCGGGGAATGTTACTGGCTATCCGTGTGACAGACTTGGTTTTGTTTTTCCCCTTACTTTTATTTATTTGTTCCCTCTTTTTATATCATATAGCGTGGACGATGATACCTTGGATTAGCTAGATTGGTGGTAGACTTTCCTGACTCTGGGTTTTCTTTTTGAGTATTTGGAATGGACGTCCGGTTGAACCGCAGATCGAGATTGAAACAATTGACCGAAATCCAGTGGAAATAAGTAATATTATGCGTAGGAGTATTGTACCCTTGTTTGTTCAGTTACAGAATGAGGCAAAAAAAGAGCTCCAATTTTCTCCGTACCATACATGAGACATACTTCCTACCCGGTGAAGGGAAACCCAGTCCAATAATATCGCATCAGTTACTCAATCAAATCAAAGCAAGAAGATTCGTGTGTCCGATTCCTATATGCGTGTCCTGGGGTACTGCTCCCTGAGCAGTCGAATTTCACTGGTCGGATCAACCAGTGTTGACCGGGACATAGGCAAGGAACACACACGACGCAAAGGGGGGAAATAGATAAAAATAAGTCGAAAATTAGTCAAAGCGGGTTGAAACACAAATTATGGATAAAAAACACTGTAAAACCACTTCGCCAGGAGTAAAGAGAAGAGATGAAAAGCACCAGTAACACCGCCACCTCCACTTGTCGTCTAGCAGATAATTAGATGAACGTGAAGAAAACAATTAATAGCTTCGGAGCCCAGAACCAAGCGCTTGCATCCTTCGTGTTTCATCGTCAGTTGAACTTTTTTTTCTGAATTTTTTTTTTGTCTTTTCATGTTTTAACCCTTGGTCTTGGATGACTTCGGAATAAATAGAATGGAATCTTGCGAGCACGAGAACAGTGCCGCAGACCCCTCAACGTTGAATCAACGGCTCATGATATACACAGGTTACAAGTTAGGGCACCTTTGGTGTTCGGGTTAGGTTGCTGGTATACGACGGAAACCGCGCTTAGAGCGTCAATTGCAGGGCAAGAGAATTCAGATTTCGCTGGGTATCAAAGGAAGGCCGATGAGTGCGGAGGTGCACATGTCGAAGTTAACGAAGACGCGAAACAACAAACATCTGGATCCCGCGCCTTCTGAGGACATATTACGCAGAATCAAGACCACCGTTTATGCAGTGGGTTGATGCTGGGGCGGCATCCGGTTGCCCACGGGCATTCCGGGATACTGCCCACCAGCTTGCTGTTGCTGCTGAAGGTTTTGGTAGTAGGCCATCTGCTGCTGCTGTTCGTTGGTCATGTAACCTGGGTGCATGCCCGCAGGGCGAGGGATGTTCTGCTGCTGGGCATTAACATTGGTGTGGGCGGCGACGTCCTCTGGTGTCTCTGTGGGCACATCACCGGCCTCGACACCGTTCTCATTGGTGGTAGGATCGGGGGCATTGAGACAGGCCTATTATGAGAGATGTCAGTTCGGGCACATCGTTTACGTCACCGGGGGTAGATCCGATGCACTCACCTGGATGAGGTTCTTGCCCTCCGCCTTCGTCACCAATGGCTGAAGCTTGGGGGTGGTGAAAGTATAGACGAGACCCGTCTCAGACACGACCAGCAATAGCACTTGGGTACCCGTGAGGACCGACAGCTCGTATGCCTGTTTTGCGACCGCAATGAAATCGTCAGCGATTTGGGGAGGGTCCATGCACATGACAATTGAATTATACGCGAATGAAAGAGGTGGATTGGACTGAAACAAACGGGAATGACCGGGCGAACGCTCGAGAAAACAAAGAAACAATGAGGATATGGAGACGCGACAAGCACGTACCTTCTTCATGATACCCGCCTTCCGCTTGGAGAAGGTGATGTGGCGACGCGACTTATCCTGAATGAACTTGATTTCAATCTTTCTGCGCTCGCGACCGGGCTTATCATCATCATCGTCGTCGTCGTCGGCGCTCATACGAGAACGCTTGGTGCCGCGGTTGTCAGCGGCGCCGTTACCGGCGGCCTGCTGCAGGTCATCCTGGGTAGGAGAAGGGTTCTCCTCACCGACGGCAGTGATGTCGGCCATGGTGGAACAAGGGTAGAACGGCGAGGAAAGGGAGGAAAAAAAAGAATAGAGTAAAGTCAAGAAGCAGGTAATGGGGATTATCTGGGGGAAGTGAAGACAGATGCCCAAAGAGGAATGATGCTTTTGAGGGGGTAGGAAGAATGACCAAATCGAGTAACGCGTTTGCTTCGCAGGGTTTGGGTTCAGGACAAGAAGAGGAAAGAGAAACGGGGAGGAGGAGTTCGAAGAAGGCAAAGTGCCGGTTGGGACAGGCAGGCGGTCTGTCACGTGCCCATGAACGGCCCATTTTACCTCCTTACCGTATCACCGGTACGGATCGTCCTCCTGCACTTGCTGAATTCCAAGAATTTGGCGGCCACACAGACCCAGTTAAGGGGGGAACATGCTGCCAAATCTTTCCCATGGCAGCGATCCCTCTACGAGAGCCTAACTTAACCATAAGGATCCCCCGGCCTATCCCTTTTTTCTTCACTTTCTAACCCATCACTCACTTCTAACCTTCTTTCTATTCCTGGGGACCAAGTTGAAGAACACCGGTGGTAAATGACCGTAACAAAGTACTAAGTTTGTCCAGACCCAACGGTGGAGCACACTTAAATCTTGGCATCCGCCATCATTGGCTCAACCGCCGGGAGGCATCGAGGATTCGATCCGGAAGCCAACTCACATTCCCCACTATCGCGTAATAATACCTTGATACCACAGACCATGTACCACCATGTACTCCACCTGCTGAATAGTCTGGGAGGTCTTATCTGGTTAAGCCTGTCTGTGCAAGACTCAAGTGCCTACCCTGAAGATCCTGATTACTTCGTCGATTTCTCATTGTGGTGACTATGATTGACCCAGTGACCAAAAAAGGGAAGCCAAAAAAAGACCTCTGCACGTCACATGACTTTTTCGCGGGATCCGCAAAGTGACTGGAACAAACTTGACCGCGGGCGTTACAAACCCAGGGCTGGACTCAACAGGACCAACTTTGGGTATTGTCAACTACGTACTTGACTTTCCTTAGTTCATTACCTACCAGGATGAGTCAGCCCTCCAACACATTCCACGCCTTCTCGAGTGCATCCAAGGCTCCCCCCCACCTCACCAACTTCAAACTCATCGCACTCAAGGGCAAACATGATCCATCTGCAGAAACGATATACCTATCATATCCGAGCCCCATGCATGTAGCACAACAGGATATCAATATCCTTTGTCGAGTCATCCGGATCATGAGAACGACGCAGTGTAAAGCAAGGGCAACGCTACCGTACACACCTGATTGTGACCGACCCCAGGCGTTCATGGTTGATGACTAGTTTCTTTTATAAATAGCATACATAAGGATGAATCGAGATAAACCCCGTATAGTACTAGGGAGGTCACTCTCGCATGACCAGTCATGGTCACTATTACTTGCTAGTTGATCCAATAATTCCAGCCATATCAGTTTCGTCCGGCCAATAATGGCCCACCATGGTTTACCCCATTCATGCAGTCTGAAGTTACACGTCAATCCCACGAGGGGTCTATACCTCGTGCAGAATGAGGTCTCCTTTCTTAAACTTCGACTCGACGGTCCAAATGGGTTAGTTCCCTTCGAAATAGGAGATGTTCGGTCCATTTGGGTAATCAGTCACTGGACCCGACAAACCTCCATATCTGATGCAGTAGATGATTTGATCTATGATGATACCGCGTAGAAGTCCTTGCTGCGAGGGTAGTATATACATACATATACCTCTGTCTCTGTTCGGCTTACTTTCCTCGAATCATTGTTTGTCTTTCGTATTGTGATTAATAACAGGCTATGACACCGTAAGCACAAACAAAGGTGGTTCCAGCCACTTTGCAAACGACAAGCACTCACCCTCGAAGTACGCAGCATACCAAAACATTCTATCATACACTGCAGACCCTCCTTAAGAAAACCCCACCCCACTAGTAGCTAGTAGTTAGTATCTACCACCGCCCGCTAACCATGTAGTCGAAACAAGCCTCACCAGGTAAACCGTAAGCCCAACATACAGCATGACCTGCAGTCAAAAGAAATGTACCAGAACACCGATCCGCCTCAGTAATACCAATATGTCTTAACCCAAAACATACCTCTTATCGGCGCCCAGAATGTAACCCTGTTATCGCCGTACCAAACCCGACGAGAGAGCTCAAAAGTACCTATTTAGATGCAACTATGACATAAAGAGGTCTATCTCATCTTTTTTTTCTTGGTCACTTGGATAGTACAGCTTCCCCCAAGG